GCTGCCTCGTCATATTGTACATTGGTGTTAATCCCTTATATCCAATTGGGATCAATACTGATCATTTCTGCATTATCTATTATTGATAACTGATAACTTAAATAGTCATTTGCTCAAGTAGCTTGAACTTGGCATAATTTTAAAATCTGATGTTTTTCCACATTGTTCACTCAAATCAGCTTAACATTCATTGCCCTCCTTTTTTAACATCATTCATCGTTTAATGAATCATGTTCTAAGATTTTTTTGTTTGCTGTCATTTTAGAAAAAGTAGACCATTGTACTATGGATCATCAATAAATTGCTGTTGTTCCCCGATTGCCTTTTTGTACTGTACTTTATTTAAGTACCCCATTATTATTTAAGTGCCCCTCGACTCTGCAAAAAGAGCACTGTATAAATGCAAGTTGTTCTTAATGTCAGTTGAATTTGAATAAGGTTTGTTCTTGTTGTCACTATATGTTACGATTTTGTTTTTTATCTCCATGATTATTTGGTTGAAACCAGCTTAATTATTGCACTTTGCTGTTGACCTTCTTAACCAAAAAAATGACCCTAGGGTAGGATGAATTAATGAGTGGTTTAAGTAAACAGTACATGGAGGAAGGAATTGAATCAATTAGTAAGTTGTACAGGAACGTATAGAGGAATGAAGATCTGCATATAATGGTAAACAAAGTTGTTGCACAAAGTAAAATACAGGAATTGTATTGGGGGGCGGATGGTGGGAGGGAGGTAAGTGGGGTCTCCTTAGAGCTGAACTGACTCCAAATTCACATGTTTGCCAATGGAATGCCGGAATCGAACCTTCCCCCTGTGGCTAATCGGTAGCCCGGTTTCTGAGCCAGGTAGGTGGGCAGTACTTCAGGGGAGTACTGATGATAACAGAGCAAACCTGGTTCATCGGCAGACTTGGAAAGGCAAACAAGTCATTGAGGGCAAGGAATCATCCCATTCAGCTCCTGTTAACCCTGCAAGCCAAAGCCTTAATGGGTATCCTAGCTGGACAAGCGACAGGAAAGCTTACCAGAGAGTGCTCGCAATGGCAAGCTATCTGGTTTTAGCTGGATAGACTCCAGTAGTACTCCCAAAACACATTCTGTAGTCCACAAGCTTGGTCTCTTGTCAATCTGCGCCTAATACTTTCTGGTATTAGTGGTCCTGGAGTCGAGGGTGGAGGCAGAGAGATAGAGTTGGGTGTCATCTGCATACATGTGGAAGTTGACCCAATGTAGGACTGGAGGAGAAGCCAACAAAGTGGAGCCGGTGTGAGAGGTAGGATCTGAACCAATCAAGGACAGAAACATGAAGGTTGAGGTGGGAGGAGAGGCGGTGGAGGAGGATGTAGTGGTCAATCGTATCAAAAGCAGCAGAGACGTCAAGGCGGATGAGGAGACAGAGGTAGCCTTGGTCACAGATGAACAAAATGTAATTTGTCACTTTGACCAAGACTGTTTTTCTGTGCTGTGGGCAACACGGAAACCCGATTGGAGGGTTCGTGTAGGGAGTGGTGTGAGAAGGAGAGGGGTAGGGATGTGGTTCAGGGAGCAGGTTGTGGGTTTCATGTGGGTTATTAATGGTGGTGAGAGAGGATGAGGAGACAGGTTTAAAGTGTGAAGAGAGGGATGTTTAGGGGCTGGAATGTGGAATGTGATGGGGAGGGATTAGCAGTTAGCAGGAAGGGCAGAGGAGGCTGAGCAGATCCCCTCGATTTTAGTTTTGAGGAAGTCCAGCATCTCCTCGTAGTTGGAGTTGAAGGAGAGGATGGGTGAAGTGTGAGAGAGTGGGTGGAGGAGCCGGTTGGTGGTTGAGAAGGAGACTGGGGTTGTCCTTGGCTTCCAAGATTAACTTGGAGTAGAAGGACGATTTAGCAGAGGTGAGGGCAGAGCAGTAAGTTTTGATGTGGTCCAGCCAGATTTCCTGATGGACTGTTAGATTTGAGCCAGGTGTGTTTTGGGCACGCACCTGTGCCTTGAGGGAGCAGAGGTAGCTGGTGACTTGCGGCAAGGGCATCAAGAGTGGTGGAGAGTGAGTTGTGGAAGAGAGTGACCAAGGAGGATATGTTGGTGTGGGAGGAAGCCCAGAGGGGGAGTAGTTCAGATGACTCCAGTGCAGCGGAGAGGGAGTAGGAGAGTTTTTTTCCCCAGGGACAGTAGGAGATGGGTTGGGTTACAGTGGGGAGAGGGATTGAGGAGTTGAGACAGATGAAGTAGTGGTCTGAGATGGCTTTGTCGGTGATGGTGATGTCCGAGATGCTGAGGCCCCGGTTCAAGTGGGTGGCCATGGACGTGGGTGGCAAAGTGGATGTGGAGGGAGAGGTTGTGAATGAAAGGAGAGAGGACAAGTCAGTGGAGATAGAGCAAGAGGGGGTGAAGTGCAGGTTAAAGTCGCCTGGGATGTGGAGGCATTCAGAACAGAGGCAGAGAGGAAGGTGGGGGAGGGTTTGGGGGTTGGTAAATGAGAATTTTTGAGGGAAAGATTGGAGGGATGGTAGAGAGTAAGGTGCTTGAAGGAGGGGAATGAGCAGAAAGAGTATGGATATAGGCCAAGTGAGGACTTGGAGCTGAGTAGATACATTTATGCAGTTGAGTGGAGAATTGGAATTACTGGTAAGGGAGAAAATAAGAAGAACTGAAGGAAAGATAACAGAAGATAACTTTATCTAGTTAAAACATTTTTTAACGATAAGAACAACAAAATAATAATTAACAACCACTTTTGTTTTCCAGCTCAAGCTTAACAATTAGAGAGTGAGCAGCTAAGATAATTAAGATAGGCCATTTGAAATTATAAATTGATTGTGGGAATTTCAATTTTGTAGAATTAGTTATCATTATGGTGATAACTAGATGGAGACTTTCTGAGAATTTTATAACTGTTTGCTTCTTAACAGGACTGATAATATTTAAAACAGGGCATCAGAGCATATGCAAAATAGGTTTTATTACTTAACAGCAGACTATAAATTTTGCCTTTAAGTGGGTGATCATTTATTTAGACTGCAATGATTATTTTACAGTTTAATATATTGTAGTATTGGATATAGTTTGGAGTTCAACGCATATAATTATTTTGGCACTGGGTTTTAGTGATGATAAGCTTATACCAAATTGCTAAATTTTGATGGAAATAGTCTTTAATTAGGAAAAATAAATTTCAAGTGTTCTAAATAAGTATTGTCATATACTGTAAAGTGATGTGTGTCGCTTTAGAGTTATCTGGTTATAACAACAACAAATTACATCTATATATCACTTTTCATGTCTTGAGGTCAGTGAAGGGTTTGCACCCAAGGTGGAGTTGGAGTCATGAGGGGTGGAGGGCAAGGTTGAGGTGGGAGGGTGACCAAAGGCAAAGAAAAAGTTCTTGAGATAGGTGTTGAAGGAGGTGGGGAAGTTCTCATTACGTATGTTGGTTATATCATTTATCATGGCTGGCCCAGACTTGTCTTCAAGTGCGCAAATCATTTTAGCATTAAATCTGCACCAGAGGTAAGTTGATGTAGTGACACTAAGTAGCTGTAGATAATTGATAATAAATGGTAATACAACTTTTCCTATTTTCCCCCATGTATTGTTTTTGTCTGATCTTGTGTGGGTTCAATTAGGATCTGACTGCTGAGATAATTAATTAAAAGTTGTGGGGTGAGAGGGTCCAAAACCAAGGAATTGACTTGAATTAAATAAATCTGTCTCCAAAAGCCCACTGAGCTCTTCTTATCACTGCCCACTTTAGATATGGGGATTTAAAATCACTGTTCTATTAGATCAAATCACACCATTGATTATAAAGGTTTACCTGATTATTTACTTTTAAGTATTTTAAAAAAACAACAATGCTTCGATCTTAGTAAACTCTTCAAAGGGTTTCAGAATAGTCCAATTTAATCGATTTCCATAGGGAATGGCATAGACAAGTGGTGAAACAAAAGCTTCACCATGGTTACTCGAAGAGACTGTGGTACAAAACACCTGACTGCTAAAACAGATGATAGTCATTATAAGGTGCACTAAATTGGAATTACGAGTTGGTCAGAACCTATTTGGAGAAGTACATTTTATTTGAAAAGATCAGATTCTTATAGTCCTAAAATAGTCCTACCTAGTACTTGTGTTATGGGCATTGTTGCCCTTGTCATCTGAATTCAATGCATGATATTAAAATTAATTGTTTGCTTTAATTGTGTCAATTTTTGATTTCCATTATGAATTGTGTTATGTTTTCCCCATGCAATTATTGCTGTATCAAAATTGTAAAACTACTTGAAATTGACATGAAAAAAGTAGTTCCATTATATTTTCTTTGCAATTTGTCAGGAAAGATTAACCATTTTCAATATTAACATAAACATGTCTTCATTAGTTTCTTTAAAACTATTTGCTGTTTTTGTAAACATGAACATTTGTCTTCAATCCATATAGTTATCTGCAAGTACAATTATAAAAACATTTAAATGTATAAGTACCTAAATGTATGTGCACTTCAAATTACAAAAAAAGTTCCCTGATGGTTAATCATTGCAGTAGGTTTTTTTCTGCCATTTTCTCCCTTTCTACCATTTTCCATTGTGAATCTTGACACTATAACCAAGTGTTTCACTTTGTAAAAGTGTCTGAGTATAATTGGTAAGAAGTTGTAGCATAGTGTTTGAAAGAAATCTAATTAATGTTTGATTGACAGAAATTCCACTTAGATCCAGGCTTACTCTTTTTTATGTATCATTTCAGAGCTTCCAGATTTTGCCATATACATTTAAATACAGTCCCAATTTTAACAGAAATTTGGTTACAGAAAACCGAAAACTAAATACATCAATTTGCCAAACAATGGATGCTTTGAAATGTAATGTAAATGGAACAAATCTAAATCCATCTAGAATTTTTCCCCTTGAGTGTCCACTTGAGTGTTGGCCTAAGTAATCTTGAGGCAGATAACAAGTTACTGTAAAGCAGACAAACATTGTTGTGTGTCTTATTCATAATGCTGTTTTCTATCAACAGAATACATTTTTGCCAGAAGTTTCTGTAAATATGCTGAAACGAAAACAAAGTTCAAGAGTGGAAAGCCAGCCTATTACAGACTTTGGTCCAGATGAGACACTTGCAGACAATGCAGACATTCTATGGATTAATAAACCAGTAAGTCACAGGCATGGTTAAGATCTCTGAAATCCTCTTACAAATAATATAAGATGCAGGGATACAGAAAAGGAGTTCCTCGGGTTTGAGACCTGAGGCCCCTAGAATCTCGGCCACCGATGGTGATGTAGAAAGAGCAGGCAACATGTTGCAAGGCCGATTTAGTCATGTAGCAGACTATGAAATGGATAAGGGGGTACTAGGATTTGAAGAGATTTACAGGCAAAGGTGGAGAGATTTCCAGACAGTCAGAGGACTGGGGGTGATGGACATGCAGAGTTTGGCGCTAGTGAGAATGCTATATTTATGCAGCCTAGTCTTATAAGCTTATAAGCAGCACAGAAGCATAACAGAATAGAAGATGAAGAAGTAAATCTAGACAGCTGAATGATAAGGGAACATTTCATGGTTGCTGAGAGAGGCATTGCAACAAAACAAGAGGGAAGAAATTAGTAACAAGGGCAACCAAATGGAACTTGGCAATTGACCTTCAACTCAAGCTGAACAGCAAGACAGAAAGCAGCTTATGGAAGCTGCAGAGCATAACAATATGATAATCATAGGAATTTTAATTTCCCAGAAGAGTTGTGATAAAACAAAGGAAAATACGAAGGAAAGAGTGAGTGTGCAGAGTTTTGTTCAATATGCAGAAGAATACAGCAATCCATGATGCTAAGAGTGCAAATGTTAGTATCTTATGTTCTTATAGAGACGGTTGAAGCAGGAAGTGTTGATTCTTTCAAACACAGATAGATAGTTTTATTTTAGGAAGTAACATTATGGGATATAGTACATAGTTTGGGACATATGTGCATGCGACTGCCAGGAAGGTAGAAGGCGAGTTACATGGACCTTGGTCTTTTCTCGTCTAGCATTTCTTATGAGGTCTCTAAAAAGGATTAAGTTTGATACATTTGTGGAAACTAGAAGAAAAGTAGAATTCTTTTAAAATCAGCTTAAGAGCACTATGTGACTCGAAGAAACCTTGTTAGACAAAAATAAATGTCTGAACAAGGAACTGAAAACTAACATAAAACCAAATAGAAATATTGAGCATCTGACCAAACAAAATATTGAAGTTGTTGTATCAAGGTTAAGTGTAAGAGGTTGTTATAAAAGTGAATTGCTGAGAGTTTATGTCAGCAATGATATCGTAGTTTATTCTGCATCTGCTACCCCCTCCCCATCTCCTCTGCCCACCCCAGATCCTACCTATTCTTCCCTACACACCTTTAAACCTGTCTCCCCCTACTCTCTCATCACCACGATAACCTGTATGAAACCGACCACCTACTCACTCGCCCCCATTTCTACCCCTCTCCTTACCTCCCAGCTCCACCTCCTTGTCCCTCTGCTCACTGACATCGTAAACCTCTCCCTGTCTTCTGGCACTGTTCCCACCCCATTAAAAAAACGCTGTGTCCTTAAAAAACCCTCCCTGGACCCTTCTCTACTCCCTAACTCCCACCCCATCTCCAACCTCCCTTTCCTCTCCAAGGTCTTCGAACAAGTTGTTGCTTCGCACCTTCCTCTCTCGCCCCTCCCTTCTCGAACCCCTCCAAACGGGTTTCCATGCCGCCCACAACACAGAAACAGCCTTGGTCAAAGTGACAAATGACGTTCTGTCCATCTGCGACCAGGCTCCCTCTGCCTCCTCGTCCTCCTTGACCTCTCTGCTGCTTTCGATACCGTTGATCACTCTATTCTCATCCACCGCCTCTCCGCTCACCTCAACCTCCACGGTTCTGTCCTTGACTGGTTCAGATCGTACCTCTCACTTAGCCTGCACTTCATCTCCGTAAGTGGTTTCTCCCCTCGACCCAGCGTTCCTCAGGGCTCTGTCCTTACTCCCCTCCTCTACAATATCTATATGCTCCCTCTTGGTGACATCATCCGCAGACATGGGGTCAACTTCCATCGGAATGTATGTGGATGACACCCAACTTTACCTCTCTGCCTCCACCCTTGACTCCAGGACCACTGCTATTGGACATCAAGTCTTGGATGAGAGCAAACTTTCTTCAGTTGAACATCAACAAGACCGAGGCTCTCCTGATTGGCTCCTGTCAGTGCCTCCTCACCTCAGGCGCTGACAGCATCACCATCCATGGTTGCACACTCACCTTGCTAACCCAGTCCGGAACCTTGGGGTCTCGTTTGACCCTCAACTATCCTTTTTACCCCACATCTGTGCCACGACCCGCTCTGCCTTCCCCATCTTTGCAATGTCGCCTGGCTCCGCCACTGTTTCACACCGCGGGCTGCCGAAACCCTCATACATGCGTTCATTACACTGAGGATAGACTACGCAAACTCATTGCTTGTCGGCCTTCCCAGCTCCTCCCTCCAAAGGCTGCGGATCATCCAGAACTCTGCAGCCAGTGTTCTCTCTCACTCTAGGCTCCGCGATCTTATCACCCCCATCCTTGCCCAGCTCCACTGGCTTCCCATCACGCAGAGGATACAGTTCAAGATCCTAGACCTCACCGTCAAAGCCCTCCATGGTCTTGCTCCCCTCTACCTCTGTGACCTCCTGTACCATCCTGCTCGCTTCCTACGCTCAGCGGGCTCTGGCCTGCTTCACGTCCCCCGCCTCTCTCGCCCCACTATTGGCGGGTGGGCCTTCCGCCACTCTGCCCCCACCCTCTGGAACTCCATCTCGTAGTCCCTCTGCCTCGCCCCCTTCTTTACCACCTTCAAGACCCATCTCAAGAGCCTCCCCTTTGACCGTGCTTTCGATCTCCCTGCTTCCCCCCCTGACCTCCACCCTCCCTGACCCCGACCCCCAGCTCGGGTCTGAAACTCTGTCCAGTGCCTTGGGACGTCCTCCCGAAGTGAAAGGCATTATACAAATGTAATTTGGTTGTTGTTGTTCCATATCATTCTTGCACATCAGCATAAAATAGATTATCTGCATTCCCTATTCTATTTTCCTTATTTTGAAGCTAAGCATGTTTGTGAAATGTTAGGTCAGACAACATATTCCTTCTGTCTGACTCACTAGGTGTCTTTCAAGCCTCTGGGACAAAGTTGTGGGTTCAAGTCCTGCTTCAAGAATCGAGCTCATAGGCTGACATTCAAATACACCTTACAGTAAATCCCATAAAGTGCTTTATGACTGCTCAACGATATGATAGGCACTGTATCAAATGATAACAAGGATTATTATTAATATACTATAAGCACTGTGAAAGCATTTGTTGTCAATGTGTTAGCCTTCCAATGAGACATTCAAAGAACGGTCTGCCTGCCTGCTCTTCAGGTGGTTTTTAAAGATTCCAAAAAAGGAAAGGAGTAGCCAACAATCCCCCTGATCAGTTGATCATTCACCTCCTGTTTTTTTGTTGGACCTTGCTGTCTGCAAAATGGCTGCATGTTTGCCTCGGTAAACAGACACCACAGTTGACACAAATTGTTAATAAAGCTCACTGTGATGTTTTGATGTGATAAGGTGATATAAAAGTGCAGTTTCTTATTAATTCCAATAGAAGGGTATTATAGAAAATAAATGATAGTTAAGAATGTGTCACAAGGATTTTATGCTCTTGAGGGAGTTCATTCAATGTACAGACATTAAACTTTATAGTATATCCTGTAAAGGGCTTCCGACATGAAAAGAGTGAGATAAAATATAAATTTTTTTTAATTTATGATGATGCTTGAATGGTTGGCAGCCACTAAATCTCAAGTGTTTTACAGTCTTAAATACACTTAAGCATATATATATATTTCATGTGCAGTCTTCTTAAGTGTTTCAATTTTGGAGTTTTTTTCCATTGGACTTCATTTTCTGGTCTGTTCAAAGGTTTCACTGGCACTTAACAACAGCAACAACGAAATTACACCTATAGAGCGCCTTTCACATCGGGAGGACGTCCCAAGGCGCTGGACGGTCAGGGGTCACGACCCAAGCATGGGGAAGGGGTGGGGTAGGGGTGAGGGAAGGCAGAGAGGTGGGAGGGCGACTGAAGGCATGATCGAAGAGGAGGGTCTTGAGACCAGCCTTGATGGAGGCAAGGGAGGAAGTGAGGCGAAGGGACTGTGGGATGGAGTTCCAGAGTATAGGGGCAGAGAGGCTGAAAGCTCGGCCACTGATGGTAGCGTGGGTCGGACGGGAGACATGGAGCAGCCCGGAACTCGCTGACCGGAGGGAGCGGGCAGTTGGTAGGGGAGTCAGCAGGTCAGAGAGGTAAGAGGGGGCAAGGCCATGGATGGCCTTGAAAGTGAGGTGAGGATCTTCAATTTGATCCTCTGAGGGATGGGGAGCCAGAGGAGTTGGGTGAGGGTGGGAGTGATGGGGTCATAGAGCCTGGTGCGCGAGCTGCAGAGTTTTGGATGATCTGCAGCTTGTGAAGGGAAGAGTTGGGAAGGTCACTGAGCAGGGAATTTCCATAATTGAGCCTTGATGTGATGAATGTGTGGGTAAGGGTTTTGGCAGCCTGAGGGGTGAGGCAGTGGCGGAGTCTGGCAATGTTGCGGAGGTGGTGGTAGGCAGTGCCAGTCATGGCGCGGATGTGGGGGAGAAAGGACAGTTCAAGGTCGAACAAGACACCCAGGTTCCTGACTGGCTTAGTGAGGTTGAGTGGGCAGCCGTGGATGCTGATGCTGCCAGCGCCCAAGGTGAGGATATCCTGGTGCGAGCCAATCAGGAGGGCCTCGGTCTTGCTGATGTTCAGCTAGAGAAAGTTGTCCCTCGTCTAGGACTTGATGTTGGACAGGTAGTCAGTCAGGACGCCAGTAGTCCTGGAGTTGAGGGTGGAGGCAGAGAGATAGAGTTGGGTGTCATCTGCATACATGTGGAAATTTACCCCATGTCTGCGGATGATGTCACTAAGGGGGAGCATGTAGAAGGTAAAGAGGAGGGGATCGAGGACAGAGCCCTGAGAAATGCTGCACGAGACGGTGCAGGGGCTGGAGGAGAAGCCGTTTGCTGAGACGAAGTGGAGGCAGTGTGAGAGGTAGGAACTGAACCAGTTAAGGACAGAACCTTAGAGGTTGAGGTGGGAGGACAGGTGATGGAGGAGGAGGAGGCAGAGGGAGCCCTGGTCACACATAGTCAGGATGTCATTTGTGACCTTGACCAGAGCAGTTTCTGTGCTGTGGTCAGCACCGAAACCTGATTGGAGGGGCTCATGGAGTGAATGGGATGAGAGGAAAGAGCGAAGCTGGGTGGCAATGGCTCTTTCAAGGACCTTGGACAGAAAAGGGAGGTTGGAGATGGGTTGTTAGCTGGATAGCTGTGATGGGTCAAGGGAAGGTTTCTTCAAGGTGGGAGTGATAGTGGCTGTTTTGAGGGGTAGGAACAGTGCCAGATGACAGGGAGAGGTTGATGATGTCGGCGAGTAGTGGGGCAAGGAGGTGGAGCTGTGATTTAAGGAGAGGGGTGGGGTTGGGGTCCAGGGAGCAGGTGGTGGACTTCATGGAGGACATGGTGGTGATGATAGAAGAGGGGGTGACAGGTTCAAAGTTGTGGAAGAACGGATAGTTAGTGGTCGGAGTGTGGGGGAGGGGGAAGGAGGGGGTGGAAGTTGGGAGGGCAGTAGAAGCTGAGCGGATTCCCTCAATTTTGGACTAGAGGAAGTCCAGCATTTCCTCGCAGTGAGAGTCGGAGGAAAGAATCTGCGAGGCATGGCGGGGAGGGTGGAGGAGCCGGTTGGTGGTGGAGATCAGGAGCCTGGGGTTGCCCTTCGCCTCCAGAATTAATCTGCAGTAGAATGACGATTTGCCCGAGGCGAAAGCAGAGCGGTAGGTTTTGATGAGGTCCAGCCAGATGTGCCGGTGGACAGTTAGGCCGGATTTGAGCCAAGTGCGTTCGGCAGACATCCAAGACACTGAGGCCGCGGGTGATCACCAAGTCAAGCGGGTGGCCATGAACGTGTAGCAGAGTGAATGTGGAGGGAGAGGTTGAGGGAGGAGAGGAGAAGTCTAAGAAGGTGAAGCAAAAGGGGGTGAAGTGGAGGTTGAAGTTGCCTAGGATGATGAAGCGGTCGGAGCAGAGGCAGAGGGAAGCTAGAAGGGTGGAAATGTCAGAGATGAAAATGGGGGAGGATTTGAGGCGGGCGGTAAATTAGGAGAATTTTGAGTGAGAGATGAGAGGGGTGGCAGAGGTGTTCAAAAGGGGGAAATGAGCCAGTGGAGTAGGGGATAGGACAAGTGACACCCTGGAGATGAGGGCCACACCACTGTGGGGGCATGGTGGTAGGTATAGCCGGGTAGTGTGACCTCAGTGAGGTTGAAGGTGTCACCTGGGGTGATCCAGGTTTCCCTGAGGAATATCAATATGCTCATTGAGGATGAGATCATTGACGGCCAGGGTTTTATTGCAGATGGAGCGGACGTTTTGAAGGCTAATGCGGAGTGGGCAGTTGGCAGGGGGATGTGTGGGATGGGAGAGGGTAGTGGATTGGTTGGCAGGGAGAATGGGGATGCGGATGAAGGAGGAGAGGTTAGCCCCTGGGTTCTGGGTCCGGGGTGGCTTGCGGCGGTAGTGGGGAATGGGGCAGTTGGTGTGGACATCCAATGCTGAGTACCACGATGAGCCCGGCAGAGGATTCCCAGGGTGGAACAGAGGGAGGCAGTAGGGGGCTCAAGCAGAGATAGGAGGCAGAGAGGGCGTATAAAGAGCTGGACAGAGCAGGAGAGTTGCAGGGAGGGGGGGAATTTTGAGGGAGGGCCAGCTCGGGTCGGGGGCAGAAGCCAAGATACGCACGCTGAGACGAGAGGCGTGGATTTAGTGGGACATTGTCATCCCGCAGGAGACTGTGGGGGCTAGAGGTGGCGCAGATGGGGGAGCGCGCTCATTGTGATGCAGGGAAAGGACAGGGGAGGGAGGGAGACACACTGGTGGCCTCCCAACTGAATATTTTTTTCTGTTGCAATCTGGATATTTAATAAAATACATGCTATTTATTTATTTATATGGAATTCTATTCCTATTGATACAGAATTTATATAGAAATGTATAGAATTTAATATCTGTGAGTATGTCACTTCCATCCTTGCTTGACTCCACTGGCCATAACAGATCGAGTTCAAGATAATAATAATAATAATCCTTGCATTTGATATAGCGCTTTTCACGTCGGGAGGACGTCCCAAAGCGCTTCACAGAATATACTGTAAAGTGAATTGACTGTATATTTGTGGGCGAACGCGGCAGCTAATTGCGCACAGCAATGTCCCACAAACAGTCGTGGATTGAAAATGACCAATTTATTATTGTTTTTTTTGGTTTTGGAGGGATTATTATTAGGCTCTGTGTGGAGTAAGGAAACTTGCCCAAGGTTTCGCCCTGACCTGCCTGGAATTGAACTCAGGTCTCTCACTTGCAAAGCGAGTGCTCTAACCACTGAGCTACAGGACTCCGCATACTCACATTTAATTCCCTCCATGGTCTCACCCATACTCACATTTAATTCCCTCCATGGTCTCACCCCACTCTACCTCTGCAGGCTCCAGCAGTCTTACTAATCCAGCAATTCCCTTCGCTTTATCGGTGATGGTCTACTCCACATTTCTCCACTCTGTTCAGCCCCACCTTTGATGGACAGACTTTCACCCACTTAGCTCCCAGTCTCTCAAACTCCATTCCAAGTCCGTTTTCTCTTTCAAGGTACGATTCAAAACATACCCCTTTCTTTGACTATGCTTTCAGTCATCATTTCCCTCCTCACCCTCAGTTCCCTCCTTCAGCTTTAATGCCCAGCCAGAACTATCGAGAGCTTTGGGGCATTCATTACAAGTGAAATGCTCTATATAAGTGTAAATTGTATTGTATTTACAAAGCTTTTAGGAAATGATTGTGTGCAAGAGTTTTTTCCCCCAGTGAATATAGTGAGCAGAAGCTACTGCTGGAGGCATTGGACTTGGCACTGTTGTGACCTGATTCAATGTTTCCAATTTTCCCAGAACTTTCAAACAGTATAAAATGTCTCCAATTGAGATTTGAGTATGTAATGGAAAACAAATCTTGTGGCTATGTGTTTATATGAAGTGCTCTGGGTAAAGTCATATTATTATTTATATTACTATATTATGTAATCTAATTATGGGATTTTTTTGTTCACTTTCATCTTAATGTTCACTTTATAATAATCCTGAACTTTCATAGAGTGCCTAAAACTTCAAAATTTCTCAAAATGTTTCACAGGTGAATGCTGTCAACTGTAATGACCATGTACTTGTACCCAAACAGAAAAGCACATATCAATTGCAATATGAATCAACAATTTATCCCAATGAATGTTGGCCAGGAGAGTAAGAAAAATTCCCTTCTCTTTTGGAATCATCCTACAGGATCTTTAATGTCCACTTGAACAGGCAGGCAGAACCTCAGTTTAGTGTCTGATTTGAAGGAAGACACCTCCAACAACACACCAATTCTGCACTGGAGAGTTAACATGGATCATGAGCTCAGGTTGCTATGTGGGACTTGATATCACATCTTTCTGTCCCAGAGATTGAAATGATATCAACTATACTCTGCTGGTGCTTGTCAGGCTACTTATTTATTCAATTGGATTTGGTAGGCAGTAAACCCAATAGAAAGTTATTACATTAGTATTACACAGGATGTTAATTTTGAATTCTTAATTATTAACATTGTAGTACCTTGCTTTGGTGATTGAAGAATACAATGAGATTGGTACTGTTCTCCTCCAACCACTGATAGACCTCTTGAGGACTATATGATACTGTTAATTGATATCTGAGAGGAAACCTGCATCACTAATAACTTTTTTTTGTTTGTGTAGTGGGTACACTCCTTGCTGCGGGTATGTGCCATCATCAGTGTTATTTCAGTCTGCATGAACACCCCGAAGACCTTCCATTACTATCCACCTCTTCAGTATGTAACCTTTGCCCTGGATACTCTGCTGATGTTTTTATATACTTCTGAGATGATTGCAAAAATGCACATCCGTGGTATAGTCAAGGTAAGGGTCTTAGTGCAAACATTTACCCCAGAATTGGATGATCACAAAAAAAGCATTGCATCATTAGTAAGACTGGTGTGGTGAGTGTGATGTGTGTGTATGTATGTGTGTGTGTGGTGTGTGTTGTATACACAGATGCACACACTCTTGTGAGCTGAAGAGAATGACCTACTAAGAGACATATTAACTTGAAACAGGATTCACAATTCCCATATGGTCATGCTACAGAAATATAACCAAAACTGCATTCTTTAAAGATTACTAAAATTAACTCACCAAAAATATGAAGCGTATGTTCTTTCTAATGGAAAAAGCAAATGATCTCATATAGATAAAAACTCTCTTTATCCAGGAAAAAATAAAATTGAAAAGCAGGGTAAAGATATTGAACTATTTGATTTAAAAAAAAGAGATTGTGCTTTCCACTGACTAATCCCTTTTTAGGTGAATTAATGTTTTTTTAGTGAATTTTATTTTCAGGCACCACGACCACCAACAGCAAATGACATTTGTAAAGTGCTGTTCACGTTGGGAGGATGTCCCAAGGAGCTGGACAGTCGGGGATTTGGACCCGGTTGGAGTCAGAGGGGGGGGAGGGCAGGGAGGATAGGGGTAGGAGGATGACTGAATATGCGGTCAAAGAGGGGGTTCTTGAGACGTGCTTTAAAGGAGGCAAAGGAGTGAGAAAGACGAAGAGACTGTGGGATGGCGTTCCTATGAGTGGGGGTAGAGAAGCTTAAGGCCCGACCCCCCGATGGTGGGCAGGCCAGGCAGGGCACGTAGAACATTGTAAAAGTTTGAAAGGGTTAGAAACGTTATGCTACTATAATAAAAGAGTAGATTAAATTATTTTCCTCAGTTTTTCACTGAATGAACCAAGATAAATGCAATTTATAAAACATAATGCTGTAGGGTTCTTAATACAGCAACAATAAATTATGTTTGTATTGCGCCTTTCACATCAGGAAGGCGCAATACAAACTCAAGTCAGGCAGCAAAGTATGGGGAAGGAGAGTGACTGAAGAGGAGCATCTTGAGACGTACCTTGAAGGAAGCAAGAAAGGGAGCAAGGTGAAGGGACTGGGTTCCAAAGGATGGGGACAGAGATGCTGAAGGCCTGACTACCGATGGGAGTGGAGCAGGCCAGAGCCTGCTGAATGGAGGGAGTAGACAGGTTGATATTGCGTTTTCAGGTCACAGAGATAGGAAGGAGCAAGGCAAGGAGGGCTTTGAAAGCAAGGATGAGGATTTTGAACTCTTATCCTCTGGGGGATGGGGATACAGTGGAGCCGGGCAAGGGGAGGGTGGGGGTGATTGGGTTACGGAGGCTGGTGCGGGAGAGGACATGAGTTGTGAATGATCTGCAGCTTGTGAAGGAAAGAGATGGGAAGGCCGACAAGCAGGGGTTTGACATAGTCGGGCCCAGATGTAACAAATGAATGGATGAGGGTTTCCGCAACCTGAGGAGAGAGGCTGTGGCAGAGAAGGGCGATGTTGCTGAGGTGGGGAAGGCAGAGCGGGTCATGGCATGGATGTGGTGCAGAAAGAACAGTTCAGGGTCAAACAAGATGCCAAGGTTCCAGACTGGCTCAGCGAGGTGGAGTGGGCATCCATGGATGGTAATGCTGTCAGTGCCTGAGGTGTGCAAGCGCTGACTGGAGCCAATCAGGAGAACCTCGGTCTTGCTGATATTCAGCTCATCCAGGACTTAATATCCTGCACTGTTTGTGGGACGCTACTGTGCGCAATTGGCTGCTGCGTTTCACCCATAAAATAAACAGTCAGTTGACTTTACAGTGTATTTTGTGAAGTGCTTTAAGACTCGAAGACGTAACAAGGCGATATATCAAATACAAGGATTATTATTATTATTATTGATGTCTGACAGATATTCTGTCAGGATAGCAGTGGTCCTGGAGTCGAGGTGGAGGCAGAGAGAGAGCTTGGTGTCATCTACATACACGTGGAAATTAACCCCATGTCTGTGGATGATGTCGCCAAGTGGGGTCATGTACATGTTGAGGGGTGGACCAAGGATAGAGCCCTGAGGAACGCCGCAAAAGCGTGCGAGAGAGGCTGTTTGTAGGGTCAAAGCGGAGCTGGTGTGAAATGTAGGATCTGAACCAGTCAAGGACTGAACCATGAAAACTGAGGTGAGAGGAGAGGCATGGTGGACGATAGAGTGGTCAACGGTGTCAAAGGCAGCAGAGAGGTTAAGGAGGACGACGAGACAGAGGGAGCCCTGGTCACAGCTTGATAAAATGTGCTACACATGTTCTAGCGAAGAATGCCTCGGATTGGAGGGGTTCGTACAGATAGTGGCGGGAGACGAAGGAGCGAAGCTGGAAGGCTACAACTCATTTCAGGACCTAGGAAAGGGAGTTTGGAGATGGGGCGGTAATTTGAGAGCAGGGATGGGTCCAGAAAGGGTTTTGGAGGAGAAGGGTTATGAAGGCTGTTTTTAAGGGGGTAGGAATGCTGCCAATAGACAAGGAGAGGTTGATGATGTCTGTGAATAGAGGGGCAAGGAAGTGGATCTGGGAGGTAAGGAGAGAGGTAACAGATGGGGTTGATAGAGCAGTTAGTGGGTTTCATATGGGTTGTAATGGTGATCAGAGAAGAGAGGGAGACAGGTTGGAAGGTGTGCAGGGAGGGATGGATAGGGGCCGGAGTGTGAGGTGGAGATGGGGAGGGGGTAACAGTTGGATGGGCAGAGGTAGCTGAGCAGATCCCCCTTGATTTTGTCTCGAGGAAATCTAGCATCTCCTCGCATTGGGAGTTAGAGGAGGGGATGGGTAAGGCATGATAGGATGGATGGAGGAGCCGGTTGCCGGTGGAGAAGAGGAGCCTGGGGTTGTCCTTGAATTCCAAGATTATCTTGGAGTAGAAAGATGATTCACCAGTACTGAAACATCATTTTTGAGCCTTATTCTTTGAAGTACTAGTTTAAACAAGTATAATCCTGCGAATCACTTTGAGACATTCTAACAATGTGATAAGGCGCTATCTTAAATGCAAGGTTTATTATAGTTAAACAAACATCTTTTGTAATTTTAGGAAAGTGGACTAGAGGAACATCGAGGTGAATGGGAGATTGAATTGGTTAGAGGCTAAGGGGCTGATTTTGATTGAAGAATCTTAATTGTTTAGAAACGTCTCAACAGTAATTTTCCTTATTTTTTGTAAATATTGTCCTTGCTTTAATTTTCATCTGTAGAAAGTAGAACTCTTGCATCTGAGTCAGAAGGTTGTGGATTCAAGCCCCACGTCAGGACTTGGAATCACATAGTCTAAGTTGACATTCCAATGCAGTATTGCATTGTCGAAGATGCAGTCCTTCGGCTGAGATATTCAACCAAGGTCCCATATGCTTGTTCAGGTGGATGTTAAAGATCCCATGGCACAATTTGAAAAGAGAATTTTTCCTGGTATCCTGGCCAACAATCCCCCGCAAAAATAAAAAAAAATGGTCACTCGTCCTATAACTGTTTGTGACACATTATTGTGCGCAACTGGTTGCCGTGTTTCGCCCACAAAATACACAGTCGATCCACTTTATATCCTATGAAGAGCTTTGAGACGTCTCAATGATGTGATAAGGCGTTATACCAAATGCAAGGATTATTAGGAATATTTATTAATTTTTCTACTGTTACTTATTTCAGTTACATCTCTTATTATTTAGTGTAGCGAATTACATATAAATATGACAGGAAATATAAAGATTCTTGGCAAAGACCTCATTGGAAAATTCTTCACATATCTAACTTGGTTATTGAAAACGTTTATTCTCTTATGAGTAAGCTAATTAAACATTTTCAGTGGTCTTTACTGTACAATTGTATCATTAAATGTCCCTAATGCTGCACACTTATATGATTATATATACAGGATTTTAGTTTGGAACCCAGGTGCTGAGCATCATTATGATCAGAAGATATCAAATGTTGGTCTGTTTCACAAATTATTTTTGAGTTTGTTGTAAAACTATTTTGAAAAGGAGAAATATCATTAGGAATATTCTAACTTGCTAGCCAGTTAAATGGATTTTGACTTTACTAAAATAAAATGACTAATATTGAAGCTGCATATTAAAATACACAGTATTGAAGTTTTATTGTTTCTACTTTGATAAACTGTAATGCACTGTTTTTAGGGAAAGATGATTTGTTCTACTATCTTGTTTTAATGTTTTGAAGACTCCAGTTCTACTATTAAAAATGAACCTTTCTACTCCTGCATGTGTATTCAAAAGCATAAATTGGGTTGCCTCCTATGACACAAAATAAGTTTCAAGCAACTTAACCTCATGTTTCGCTGGATGATGTCTTGTGAAACGAATGTCATGATCCAATACTTTGTTTTTCTTCCCTTTGTTTTCTTTATTTTCATTTTTGCAAAGTTTAATTAAAAGTGGAGATTTCCTGCCTTCTATCTTTTATATTGCTTTATCAATCTAATTTATCACATGTAATTAATTGGCTATTCATCTTATAGTTGTTTGTAGGGTAACACTATCATAAATTAGTTGTCACATTTGCTTCCATAACCTTCTCATCATTCTAATTTATCTAATTCATAAAGCGGTTTGAGACATTTCTTTATGTGAATAAATGCAAATTGATAATTTCTCACCCTCAAACACGGGAACTCCTCATTCTTACAGAGGTATCAAATTATACCTAATCTCATGCCTGGGAAGATCAAATACACAGGCGCATTGAGACATTTTGACATGATAAAGTACTGCATTATATGCAAGGATTATTTTATTATTTTGCCCAGATCTTGCCCCGAGGTACGTTATGGTATGTTATTAATGAAATGAAGAACAATGAGGAAAACAAAATTATTTGCAACACTTGCTGGAAGATCAGAAAAAAGTTCAAATGTTTTTTTTTCTGAGTTCAGGGAAGAGCTTTAAGAAGCTTTCACTTTCTGACTTTCTGTTTGATAATAAAAGTATTATAAAAGGAATGTACTTTTGCAAGAGAGGGAAG